TCTCTGTGATTAGCCTGTCTAGGAAGAATGAAATTATTAACTTGGTCATAATTGATTTCCCTTTTCATTATGTACATGAAAGATGAGGTCAGTCCAGTTAAATTGCCTTAAGTTGACAAGGGATGAATTTCAAAGGAGAACATAGTTCTTTAACTAGAAGAGGATACAGAGTACTTTTGACAGACTAACATAATGTCACTAGTACTACTATGCTGTTGTGCCATGTAAAAGTTCATTTTCTCCTCCCATTTATTGATGTCTGTGAAATGTGTTTTCTTTCCTGACCTAGTTTGGCTTTCATACAGCATTGTTAAACATAGGCCCTTGTGTCCTGCCTAGTGATGAAGATCAGGTGGCATGTACTTTTGTTGAGTCTTTCTACAAAATGTTTCTCTATTTTTTCATTGTGATGGTGGTGGTGGTGGTGGTAGTGTTGATGGTTCTTCAAGACAGAGTTTCTCTGAGTGGCCCTGGCTGTCCTGGAACTTGCTCAGTAGATCAGGCTGGTCTCTGACTCAGAGATCTGCTTGTCTTTGCCTCCTTAATTCTGGGGTTAAAGACATCTAGCACCACACCCTGCTTTTTAGGCAGTTTTGCAAGGACTGTCTTGCCATTAAGATGGATTTTTGAGTTTTTTTTTAACTTTCTTTGAGGCCTAAGGCAATGACTAGAAAACGGGGGGGGGGTGTATAAGTATCTTTATTATTCAGAAAGGGAATAGAAGACAGTGTGCTGAGTGAAGCATTGGTTGGGAACCTGTAGGTAAAACAGCTGAGATGTAACTGAGGTGAACTCATTGTTGGAAATCATGGGCCAGTGTAGAGCTCTTATGATGAAAAAGAAGGTTCTGAGTTTAGTTCTTGGGTTGTTAGGTATATCTGTAGGAATCAAGTCATAGTTATTCAGTGAATCTCTTGGAGCAGTTAGGGCATAGTCATTGTAAGATATCGCTTTGCTGCTGACTGTTGCCACAGGCCATCAGGTCATAGCTAGAGCTTGCTAGCTTATTCATCCTTATTACTGAGAAGAATCTGCTTGTTGAGATAACTATAGAAGGCAAAGGAAGGGAAATGAATACTGATTATTATGACAAATTTAAAAACTTAGGTTATGAATGTTTTATCTACATTTGTGCACATAAGTGCACACATAAGTGCACACATAAGGACACATAAGTGCCCTTAGAGGTCAGAAGAGGGCGTTGGATCCCCTGGGACTGGAGTTACAGTCACTTGTGAATCTCCAAGTGGATGCTGGGAATCAAACCTGGTTACTCTGAAAGAGTAGCCAGTGCTGTTAACCACTAATCCATTTCTTTAGCCTCTAAACGTACTAGTTTAAAGTCATGATTCTGATAGTATTGTTTAAAACAAAAAAGTAAACAGATTTGCAGTGAGTGTTTGTATGAAAAAAATATTGCTTAAGAAGTGTACCTGCAATGCTAGATTTTGAAACATATAAAGCCATGTAATAAATACTGTGGAAGATACAAAGCTGAAATGGCAAATGAAAGGCTTAGAGTAACCCAGACTTACTAATAATCAGAGAGATGCAAAATAAAATGAACTAGTCCTTTTAAATCTATTTTGATGGTGTGCACGTGCGTGCGTACACACACACACACACACACACACACACACACACACACTACCACAATACCTATGTGGAGGTCAGTGGCCTAAAATTTAGATTCCTGCCTGAAATTACTTCTTTGTTCTAGCCTAATGTCAGATTCCTGCCTGAAGCCCACTTCCTTGTCCTTGGCCAATGTTAGATTCCTGCCAAGCAGCCCATTTCCTAGTCCTTGGCCCATGTTAGATTCTTGCCAAGCAGCCCCAAAGGCTCTCCACCTCTCCCCCTTTTTTATTTCATAAACAAGACTGAGCCTGTCTTAGGTCGTTCTGCCAAGAATGCCTTCCTTACCCATAGTGGAATATGCATTATCAAAAGCAATATACTTCTGTCTTAGGTTGGTAAGGCTTCCTGCAGAAACTTACCCGTCCTTGGCTTGCCAGCCTGTTAATTTAATAAGTCTGTCTGGGGGTCCATTTTCAGTTTCAAGCCATGTACTTTGGCTGCCAACATGTTGATGTTGTTAAAGACAAGCTTTAACATGATGGGCAGGAATAAAAGTATTTCCAGGACAAAGAGGGCTAGCATGATCAAGCTATATATGCTTTTCTTGAAGCTTGACCAAAATAGAAATACTGACCTAAGGCCATGGGTAATTTTATCAGCAGTATCTGCCGCATTGATGCTCAACAGATCAGTATTCTTGAAATTTATAAGCTCACTATGCAAAGTTAAAACATCCAGAGAGGTGTTAGAATTGTGCCAAATACACTGCTTTTCCTAATTATAATGACTACCACTACCACTGTAAACTTTAGAACTAACATGAATCCAATGGTATTTGGTGTGATACTTGAGATGGTTCCTTACTATTAAAACTCTGAACCTCCTTCCAATAATTCAAACAAGGGTTAGTACATGTGTTAAGGCTCTTTTAATTGTCTAGTTAAAATTAACTTTTGTTTCTTCTACAGTATTTAATGTAAGTTGCATTGATTGTACACTTTCTAATTGTGTTAGTGTGTTGAAACCGGGCATGCCTCTTAAGCATGTCTATCAACCAGCTTTTGTTTCATTGCCCTGAGTATCACAGAACCATGGTATTCTGAAAAAAGCTTGGAAGTACTGGAAGAAGTGAGTCAAACTCTAAGCAGAAGCAAGAGGGTAGTGGGTTTGATTATTGTTGGTATAACAGCTTTAATTACATTAATTGCTAACACCACTGCTTCTGCTGTAGCTTTGGCACAAGAAGTAAAGACAGCTACTTTTTATTAATCATTTAGCAAAAAATGTTATTAATGTGTTGAATATACAAGAGGATTTAAATGGGCATTTGGAACAACGGATTTATGCTCTTTATCCTATTCAAATTATTGGAAGGACGTAACTGAATTTTTTATGTTTTAGAAAAGACTATATTCGGAACTAGAGAAATAAATGGCTCAGTGGTCAAGAGTACTTGTTGTTCCGCCCAGGGAGCCCAGTTAATTTCTATTACCCATGACTTGTAGTATACAACGGTTTATTACTCAGGGTCCAAGGGATGGATTCAATACTGTCTTCTGGCCACTACTAGGACCCATACAAACATGGAGCACATATACAAACACGAATGTTGAAATTAAAAAGTGCACATTTACTAGGCATAGCAGCACATATACTCAGCATTTTGGAAATAGAGGCAGGAGAATCAGGAGTTCAAGGTATCCCTACATGTGTAGTGATTTCAAGGCTAATTTGGCTGTATGAGATCGTATTTCCAGCTGAGTTTATTTTTTTTTAAAGCCCTTATTTTTATGTTAAAGGATGAAATAAGTAAAACAAGAAAGAACATTCTTGTGGTATGTGTGTGCATGCATGCATGCACGTGTGTGTGTGTGTACATGTAGATGAGGACAGAGGTCCAGTTGTTGGGAGTCTTCCTTGTTTTTCTCTACTTTATTTTTCCATACATGGTCTGTCACTGAACCTGAGCTCACTGATCTGCTTAGAGGCTGGCTTGAAAGCTCCAGATATTTCTTTGCTGTGCCTGCTCCTGGGATTAAAGACACACACCATCATGCCTGGCATATTATGTGGGTTCTAGGATCTGTACTTGTGTGAGAACCATTCCCATAACCCAAGTATGTGTTTCTTTTAACTTGATGGATCTAAATTACAGATGAAGATTGAAAAGCTTTTGTTAGTTTTAGAATATAACTTTTTTTTTCCTTGGGGGGGGTAGATAGTAGCAGAAGGGTAGAGAAGAGAGAAATAAATTGAGGTAGAAAAACCATTTAAAGGAAATAATTTTTTAGGTAACTTGTAAAAGTTGAAATCACTTATCTGGAAGTAGTGTATGTAGAATTTTAGAAATTTAAGTATATGAAAAGTGGAATCAGGCTGGAGAGATGGCGCAGTGGTTAGAGCACTGACTGCTCTTCCAGAGGTCCTTAGTTCAATTCCCAGCAGCCACATGGTGGCTCACAGCCATCCCTAATGGGATCTGATGCCCTCTTCTGGTGTGTCTGAAGACAGCTACAGTATACTCATATAAATAAATGACTATTTAAAAAAGAAATCACTAAAAAAAAATAAAAGAAAAATGGAATCACATTGATAAAGTAGATCCAGTAGCATTTTATTCTAACCCCAAAGAAGGGGTTAGAATAAAATTTGTAATGGTACCTACTTGTATAATCTTGTCAACTTAGCAAGTTAAGGCTATGATCTTTGAGTTGATTCTGTTAAATCCCCTCCTTTTCTTGACTACAAGGATGGGAGCAGAGGCCAAAGAATTCCCTGAAAATGTCTAAATAGTAGGTTTCTGATTGTTTTCTTGCTTATAAATAATTTCTATTTCCCTCTTCATCTTTCTGTTTTAGTGAGTTTCACAAAACATTTGTTTCATTAATGACATCTTTCTTATTTCTGCATTATTCTTAAGAGATTTTGTGTATAAGATAATTAGTTTTATGTAATCATTCCATCCCCTTAATTCAGTCTTTAGTGAGATTCTTCAAAGATATAGCAGAATAGTAATTTGTTTTTACTTTTTCGGTTATTGTTAAATAACAAAATAGTGTCAGATATTTTTGCATATTGATGTTTTTAGGAAGTTACCCTGACTTGGACAATAAAACTTTGTTATATGGTTTCAATAAGACTATTTTCGACACTTATTGTTTTCCCTGCCCTTTGGAAAGAAGATCTCAGTAACTCTGGCTGACCACAAATTTACCAGATACCCAAGGATGGCTTAGAACTCTTAAATTTTACTACCTCTACTTGGTATTGCAATCATGTGCTACCATGCTTGGCTTAGTACAGTGAGTTATAAGTTTATGTTCAGAAAACTGTATTCAATATGGTTGTTAAAGCTTTCAGTTTTGAATACAGAAAACAATATTCAATGTGACTGCTCAGTGTTTCTATCTTTTGTATTCCAGTTCTTTTGCCAAGAAAATGGTTTGCCCAGTCCTGAGCACCTACTGTCCTTTCTGATGGGACAAGATCCAATATGAATGTAAGTGATGGAGGAAGACGACGCTTTGAAGATAATGAACACACATTACGAATATATCCTGGGACAATTTCAGAAGGAACAATTTACTGTCCAATTCCTGCCAGAAAAAATTCCACCGCTGCTGAGGTGATTGACTCTCTTATAAACAGACTTCACCTAGACAAGACAAAATGCTACGTTTTAGCAGAGGTAAAGGAATTTGGTGGAGAAGAATGGATACTCAATCCAACCGACTGTCCAGTTCAACGAATGATGTTGTGGCCCCGAATGGCTTTGGAAAATCGCTTGAGTGGAGAAGACTACCGCTTTCTTCTCAGAGAAAAAAACCTTGATGGATCAATTCATTATGGTAGCCTCCAGTCATGGCTACGGGTAACCGAAGAACGACGCAGGATGATGGAGCGAGGTTTTCTTCCACAGCCTCAACAGAAAGACTTTGATGATTTATGTAGCTTGCCTGATTTGAATGAGAAAACTCTATTAGAAAACCTACGGAATCGCTTTAAGCATGAAAAAATTTATACTTATGTCGGCAGTATTCTAATAGCTATTAACCCATTCAAATTTCTTCCTATTTATAACCCCAAATATGTCAAAATGTATGATAACCACCAGTTGGGAAAACTGGAACCCCACATATATGCTGTGGCAGATGTAGCTTATCATGCTATGCTTCAGCGCAAAAAGAATCAGTGTATTGTGATTTCAGGAGAGAGTGGTTCTGGGAAGACTCAAAGCACAAACTTTCTTATTCACCACCTTACTGCCCTCAGTCAGAAAGGGTTTGCTAGTGGAGTAGAACAGATTATTCTTGGAGCTGGACCAGTACTTGAGGTAAGGTATATAGAAATAATTTTCTCTTTCTTTCTCCTGCCTTCCTTTTTTTAAAAGACAAAGTCTCTCTACATAGCACTAGCTGTCATGTGTCTAGCAACTCACTATGTAGACCAGGCTGGTCTTGAACTTACAGAGATCCACATACCTCTGCTTCCTTTGTGCTGGGATTAAAATCATGTGCCAGCACACCAGCTAGAAATAATTTTCTCCAGTCTTCAAGAAAAGATTGGTAAATGTGAGAAGATGAAATAAAACTACTAGAATAGACACCGGTTTAGTTGCCAAGGGAAGCTCAAGTGGCAAAGCAACAAGGCAGGTATGATACTAGTTTATGTTTGGAAGTGATTCTGTTAGGAGTTAGCATTGCAGCTCTGTGATAAGAGCACTTCTTGATATGTGCAAGCCATGTATTCTAACACCAGTACCATCAAAAGAAGAAAACCGAAAAGAGGTTTTTTTGAGTCGCTGGAATAGTAGCCTATCTCTTTACAAAGAAGCAGGGCAAAAGTCTGTTTGAATTTGGCTCGATAAGGGAGATAAAAACCGAAATTTAGTATAATGTGATACTTCTGGAAATAAAGTTTCTCTGGGAGGTGTGATTATTAGTTTTGTTACTCCTGTTTGGTTGTTTTATGACTTGTGAACTAATATTTTAAATATGTCTTCTTTTATACATGTGATCATATAATTCTCCATTGTTTTTTGTGGTTATGATTGAGTGGGAACACTTAAAGATGCCCACACATATTAATGCTCTCAGGTTTTTCTTTGAGATTTTATATGCTCATTGAAGCGCTCTTTTTACCCATATTAGCCTGCTAAGTATCAACTTCATTTTCTCTTTTATTTTCTGCTGTCATATAGCCTCAAATTCAAATACAAGTCTGAGCTCTTTCCTGAACATACATATATTCCTTGACATTTGCAAACACCTTGCATGCACATGGCTTCCTACATGTACAGCAATCTTTAATACCTTTTTTAAAAAGAATTTTATATTATTATTTTATGTATATGAGTGTTTTGGCTGCATGCATCTTTGCATGTGTGCAATGCTGGCAAAGGCCAGAAGAGGCTATTGGATCTCCTGGAACTGAAGTTTTCAATGGATATTAGCTGCAGTAGAATTGAATCCTGGTTCTTGTTATTTATTTTTTATTTTTGGATATTTTCTTTATTTACATTTCAAATGTTATCCCCTTTCCTGGTCGTCCCCCCCCCCCCCCACAGAAACTCCCTATCCCATCCCCCGTCCCCTTCTTCTATGAGGGTGTTCCCCCACCCACCCACCCACCCACCCACCCATCCACCCATTCCTGCCTCCCTGCCATTGAATTCCCCTACAGTGGGGCATTGAGCCTTCACAGGATCAAAGACCTCTCCTCCCATCGATGCCTGACAAGGCCATCCTCTGCTACATACGCAGCTGGAGCCATGGGTCTCTCCATGTGTACTCCTTGGTTGGTGGTTTAGTCCCTTGGAGCTCTGGAGGATCTAGATGGTTGATATTATTGTTCTTCCTATCGGGTTACAAACCCCTTCAGCTCCTTCAGTCCTTTCTCTAACTCCTCCATTGGGGACCCCATGCTTAGTCCAGTAGTTGGCTGCAGGCATCCACCTCTATATTTGTCAGGCTCTGGCAGAGCCTCTCGGAGAGACAGCTGTATCAGGCTCCTGTCAGCATGCACTTCTTGGCATCCACAACAGTGTCTGGGTTTGGTGACTGTATATGGGATGGATCCCCAGGTTGGGCAGTCTCTGGATGGCCTTTCCTTCAGTCTCTGCTCCACACTTTGTCTCCATATTTACTCCCATGAGTATTTTGTTCCCTTTTCTAAGAAGGATTGAAGCATCCACACTTTGGTCTTCCTTATTGTTGAGCTTCATGTGGTCTGTGACCAAGCATTTGGGCTGATACCCACTTACCAGTGCATACCATGTGTGTTCTTTTGTGATTGGATTACCTCACTCAGGATGATATTTTCTAGTTCCATCCATTTGCCTAAGAATTTCATGAATTCAGACGGGCAGTGGTGGCGCACAACTTTAATCCCAGCACTTGGGAGGCAGAGGCAGGTGGATTTCTGAGTTCGAGGCCAGCCTGGTCTACAGAGTGAGTTCCAGGACAGCCAGGGCTACACAGAGAAACCCTGTCTCAAAAAACAAAAACAAAAACAAAACAAAACAAAAAAAAGAATTTCATGAATTCACTGTTTTTAGTAGCTGAGTAGTACTCCGTTGTGTAAATGTACTACATTTTCTGTATCCATTCCTCTGTTGTAGGACATCTGGGTTGTTTCCAGCTTTTGGCTATTATATATAAGGCTGCTATGAACATAGTGGAGCATGTGTCCTTGTTATATGTTGGAGAATCTTTTGGGTATATGCCCAGGAGTGGTATAGCTGGACCCTCAGGTAATATTATGTCCAATTTTCTGAGGAACCACCAGACTGATTTCCAGAGTGGTTGTACCAGCTTGCAATCCCACCAACAATGGAGGAGTGTTCCTCTTCCTCCACATCCTCTCCAGCATCTGCTGTCACCTGAGTTTTTGATCTTAGTCATTCTGACTGTTGTGAGGTAGAATCTCAGGGTTGTTTTAATTTGAATTTCCCTAATGACTAATGATGTTGAACATTTCTTTAGGTGCTTCTTGGCCATTCAGTATTCCTCAGTTGAGAATTCTTTATCTCTGTACCCCATTTTTTAATAGTGTTATTTGATTCATTGGAGTCTAACTTGAGTTCTTTGTATTAGATATTAGCCCTCTATCATTTGTAGGATTGGTAAAGATCTTTTCTCAATCTGATGGTTGTCGTTTTGCCCTATTGACAGTGTCCTTTGCCTTACAGAAGCTTTGTAATTTTATGAGGTCCTGTTTGTCGATTCTTGATTTGAGAGCATAAGCCTTTGGTGTTCTGTTCAGAAAAATTTCCCCTGTGCCCATGTGTTCAAGGCTCTTCTCCATTTTCTCTTCTATTAGTTTCAGTGAATCTGGCTTTATGTGGAGGTCCTTGATCCACTTGGACTTGAGATTTGTACAGGAGATAAAAATGGGTCGATTTGCATTCTTCTACATGCCAACCTCCAATTGAACCAGTACCATTTGTTGAAAAGGCTGTCTTTTTTCCACTGGATGGTTTTTAGCTTTTTTGTCAAAGATCAGGTGACCATAGGTGTGTGGGTTCATTTCTGGGTCTTCAATTCTATTCCATTGATCTTCCTGCCTGTCTCTGTACCAATACCATGCAGATTTTTATCACCATTGCTCTGTAGTACAGCTTGAGGTCAGGGATGTTGAGTCCCCCAGAAGTTCTTTTATTGTTGAGAATAGTTTTTACTATCCTGGGTTTTTTGTTATTCCAAATGAATTTGAGAATTACTCTTTCTAACTCTATGAAGAATTGAGTTAAAATTTTGATGGGGATTGCATTGAATCTGTAGATTGTTTTTGGCAAGATGGCCATTTTTACTATATTAATTCTGCCAATCCATGAGCATGGGAGATCTTCTTTCACAGAGTAGCCAGTGCCTTTAACTGCCAAGTCACCTGTCTAGCCCTGTCTTTTCATACCTTTTCAAGCCCATTTTATACATGTAATTATGAGGTCTCCCCAACCCCTCACTTTATTATTACCAACTTAGTTTAAAGAATTGTCTCCAAAAGATGGTTTCTCCAAAAGATGGTTTTGGTGTGGCGAGGCTGTTTTTAGTCAGTGATCAGTAAGTCGGTTTAGATGAACACAACCCTTAGAGTGAGATTTTTCCTGGAAATGCTAGACAGAAATCGTGATGACCAGTGCTGTGGACGAACCTTACCCCTATTCTAGGGGTGTCAGCATTGCTTGTCATTATTTTCTTGCCTTATATACACCTTGGGTGATGATTAGAGAACATAAAACACCTATAGAGAGCATATAGGTGTTTATCATCTATACAGTAGCTTTGTTTTAAATAAATAATTATAGTACTTTAATGGAGTTTCATTTATGTACTTCTAGAATGATGAGTCTTTATGTCATTATTTTCTTTTCAGCTTTGCAAAATGCTTTAGTATAAACTTAAGAAATTTCCTGTCCTTGGAATATGAAGAAATCTTGATGTTAATGAGATTATTTTATTTTAAAAGAATTTGTTGCCAGGCAGTGGTGGCGCACGCCTTTAATCCCAGCACTTGGGAGGCAGAGGCAGGAGGATTTCTGAGTTCGAGGCCAGCCTGGTCTACAGAGTGAGTTCCAGGACAGCCAGAGATACACAGAGAAGCCCTGTCTTGAAAACCAAAAAAAAAAAAAAAAAAAAAAAAGAAAGAAAGAAACAAAAGAATTTGTTAATATTTAATGAGCCTCTTTGTGTGGCTTTAAGTCACCAGTGTACTCCAACCCTTACTCCTCTGGGGAAAGCACCCACCCCACATCCTTAATTATCTCTTAGCTTTCCTGCACAAGCATTTGGTCTTCACACTGACAGGCTGCTTATACAGCATCAGGTTAGTGATGGGGCAGCCCTAGTCCTGTTTTTGCCAGCATTTACTCATGTCTGCTCATTTACCAATGTCCAGAGTTTTCCAAAGTTGACAGAAGCTCTGGTTCCTCTTCAACTGGTAATGCCATTTAGAGTCACCTGACTATATTTGTTGTATTTGGTCCTGTGGTGACTTAAGCCATCAGCATTTCTTGGGCCTCCTGGGAACTTCTGGTGCTTACAATGTGGCTATTGCAATGGCTCCCATTACTCTGAAGTTGCTGGGACCAAAAATCATGTCTTTGTTTGTTTGTTATTTTTGTTTTTCTAGCAGAGTTTCTCTGTGTAGCCCTAGCTGTCCTGGAATGATCTGTAGACTAGGCTGACCTTGAACTCACTTCCCGAGTGCTGGGATTAAAGGCATGGGCCTGGCAAAGAAACATATTTTCATTTTATTAATTTTGTGTGTGTATGTATGAATGTATGTTTTATATGCACATATGTATGTGGGTGGAGGTACCTGTAGTAACCAGGCAAGCACATTGTTCTGTACTGTCACTGTCATCATTCCTTTGAGGTAGGGTCTCTCACTAATTCTGGAACCAATTGAATGGCCAGCAAGTTCCTCCTCTCTGTCTGCCTAGTGTGTTGGCGGTACAGGTGTTGTGCATCCCCATACTGAGCGTTTCCAGGAGTGTTATGATCTGAATTGACAGCAAGTGCTCTTAACAGCTGAGCTATTTCAGTCTTGTATATTAAGTTTTAAAAATTGAGATTCATTTTACTGAAGTAGAATAAGGTGAAAATCTTATTCTAATTTTTTATAATAAGATTTTTTTTGTTCAGCTTTTCATTATTTTCTTTTATTCTACCTCAAATATGCCTTACTGGTTTTTTTTATTAAAGACTAAAGAATGTTTAAAAAATTTTTTAAATAAAAACTGTTTATTTTTACAGGCCTTTGGAAATGCAAAGACAGCACATAATAACAATTCAAGTCGATTTGGCAAGTTTATTCAAGTAAATTACCAAGAAACAGGCACTGTACTCGGGTAAGTACTGCCACTTTAGAAGCATACACACACATGTATATATATTATATATGCACACATGTTTGTTACAGATACACATACATATATTAAAATCTATTTTATTTTCAGTGTATGTGTATACCATGTAAACTCGGTGCCCTTGGAGGACAGAAGAGTGGGCATCAGATCCTCTGGAACTGATGTTACAGATGGTTCTTAGCTGCCATGGGAGAGCTAGGAATTGTATCTAGATCCTTTGGAAGAGCAGCCTTTGCTCTTAATTGCTGAGTTATTTCTCCAGCTCCTGGATCATATTTGTATTTTAATTATTACTAGTTTCATAAGCTATGAATTATGACATTGGTATCTGCATAAAAATTGTTTCCTCATTTTTGTTGGATTCAGACTGAGAAAGTTGTAAGACCGATTATAATTCTAATTCTTTTTTTTTTTTTTTTGGTTTTTCGAGACAGGGTTTCTCTGTGTAGCCCTGGCTGTCTGAAACTCACTATGTAGACCAGGCTGGCCTCGAACTCAGAGATCCGCCTGCCTCTGCCTCCCAAGCACTGGAATTAAAGGCGTGTGCCACCACTGCCTGGCCAATTATGATTCTTAACATACTTATTTATACTTATTAACTGTTAACAGTTGCATGTACTTATGTTTATATTATAACTTTTCTAAAATCTATTTTCAAGTTAGGAAATGACCCTTTTCTGAAGATAATCACACTTTTTTACATATCCAAATTAATATTCTCCCAATCAAGGTATTTGATTTTGATACAATAAAAATCTTTACATTTTCTGTGACAAGTCATCTGATTGTTCTAGTAATATACTTTATAGGTTAAAAAATGAATAGTGTATCCTTTAGACCAGTTTTAGAGTCACAGTAGAAGGAGCTGGAAGTCCCTGTGTGTCACTCGTGTGTGTCATTCCCATCCTTCCAGCACAGCTGCCCTCATTATAAATCTTGTGCTGGTTTGCTCTGCCTGTTAAAGTTGATGAGCAGTAGCGTTGCTGCATACTTACTAATTGTGAAATCCATAACTGGTATTAAAGTGTACTCAGTATGTTTTATTCCTTTGGCTCTGAAGACTGCAGAGATACTATTTACAGTTTTTATTGTAGTACAGGCACCATGGTTTTACTGTGCTAAAACATCTTTTGTGTTCGGCATATTCAGCCTTGTTCTTCCAGGTCTTGGTAACTACTGATCTTTCCCTATCTCCATGCTACTTTCTCCAAAATGTAGAGTTGGAATCATATTGTACTGTAGCCGTTACAGGTTGGATTCTCTAAGATAACTGTGTACTTAACGATCTTCTGTAGCTATTACTTTTATTGGTTTAACATTTAATTTTATGATTATTTTAGAGATGACTGACATCTTTAATTTTTTGTATATTTGAGTTTATATTTATTTTTTTAAAAATATTTATTTATTTCATGTATATGAGTAACACTGTTGCTGTCTTCAGACACACCAGAAGAGGGAATCAGATCCCATTACAGATGGTTATGAGCCATCATGTGGTTGCTGGGAATTGAACTCAGGACCTCTGGAAGAACATTCAGTGCTCTTAACCGCTGAGTCATCTCTTCAGCCCTTAAGTTTATTTTTAAGGATTTTATTATGAGTGTGTTTTTTCTCTTGCATTATGGTTTCTTACTTAGTGCTTATTGTTCGTGTGGTTGAATCTGTTGATTGTTATAGTTTACATCTAGTGCTTTGATGTTTGTCGTGATTGTTCAAAGCATATTATAATACTTGTAAAAAGACCAGTAGCTTACTTGGGCCTGTCCTTGGGTCGTAGCCCAGGCCTACTCTTGGCCCTAGCTTCCTGCTTCTGCTGAGAACAGTAACAAACTTCAGTAAGCTCTCCCTCTGAACTAAGCCATTCTGCCATGATGGGCTGTCTCCTGAACCATGAGCTAAAATGAAGTTGTTCCTTTCAAAGGATTTTTTTCTGTAAAGTATTCAGCCTCAGCAATGAGAAAATGTAACTAATAGAGCCAACTTTTCATTGCTGTGACAAAATGCCAGAGGTAAAAGAGGAAAGATTTTATTTAGGTTCACACTTGCAGAAGTATAAATCCATGATTGATTGGCTGTGTTGTCTGTGGTTCTGTGGCAGGCAAGAGTATCTTTGCTGGGATTGTGTCTAGATCACATGGTGATAACCATATCGTGGCTAGAACGCAAGCAAAGAAGAGAGAGGGAGAGGAAGATGTCAGTATCCCCTACAAAAGCACACTTTACCTAATTTTCTTCCACTGAGGCTGTCTCCTTCTTACTAATACTATAGGCTTCTGGTTCAGTCTTTGGCCTATAGCCTTTTGTAGAGGATATTTAAAGTCTGGCCATTACAAATACACTATAATATTATTTTTGCCTTTTATGTCAGTACTCAAAGAACTTTTATTTTATTAACTAATTAAACATTGATTTTAATTGTCTTGAGTTTATGCTAATGTTGGATATTAAATTTCAGCAAAATTGTATTCGGGATTATGTAGATAAACATGTCTTCTGAAATACATAGATACTGTACTTTTTTCCGTTTCTAATATTGAACTATTTTGCATTTCAGGAAAATTTGTCAGTACAAACACGCACATGTATACATACCATACATATAAATTGTTATTTTTCTATTTGATGGCTATTATTATGATTTTTGTACCCCTATTAATAGGTAGATTGATAGGTTATGTTTTATGCTATGTGAATTATATCTCAGTCTTATGTACTTCTGCATTTTTTTAAAAAAAGCATGGCCAAAACTACAGCATTGTATACAACGTATTGGCCCATCTGTGAAGAACCTAAAACCAATGTTATCAACAACCATAAAAGTCCTTGGGAGATATTCAGTAGCAGTTTCATAGGTCATTTCCATAGGCTCAGTTGGTACTTTTAAAAGTGGGATATCGTCAAGGAGTTAGGCTTATAGTTGTGTTTCAGAAGAGAATGGCTATATATAGGTAAAGTCATGTATATTGCTTTTAACCTCAAATGTAATAGTAATCTTCATTGATTAAGGTAGTTTTGTGAATTAGGAAATAGATGTGTAGTTTCCTTTATTGAAGGAAATGCAGGCTCTTCTGTTGATTGCGTAAAAAAAGTTTTTTCCTGTGGTGAATAAAAACTGAGTAAACAACATATTTGGATTGAGCATTAACTCATTCTTTATTTATTAAGCATAGATTTGTGGGGTGCATTTTGAGTATCAGGCATTGTTCAAAATATTGAAGATTAAAAAAAAAACATGTAAACATGTTTTTTTGCCTTTGACATTTTCATTGTCTTTTAGGGAAAGAGATACTCATATAAGTAGATTATAGTAAATGACAATTTCGTTGAAGTATGTTTCTGAAAGGCCTTATGTTGAGTATTAAAAATTTGCCAAGTGGAAGGACTAGGAAATAATTTTATGAAGTGAGGAATTGTCCTTAGTAAATGACTGTCATCATAACAAGAGCTTGTTGTATTTGAAAAGGCAAAAAAAAAAAAAAGTTTAGCAATGTTATAGAGGTCAGATGGTCAAATTGAATATACAACTAATATAATTATCTTGACATTGTGAGGTAAATTTTAGATAATTTTATTTAGAAAGTCAAATATACACAAAATAGAGAAAAAAAATAGAGCAAGGACATCTTAGGTAGATTGAGCAATGATTAAGTCTTAACCATATTTAATTCATCTGTCTTTTCTTTTTTTATGCTGGTTTTAAATAGAATCTTAGACACATGTGATATGCTTAGCACTGTGGTGAGCAGATAAATGTAGAGGCATAATGTGCCTTTCTCATTCTCGGAACTGAACTCATGGATCAGGATAGAAGAAAAAGAGATGCCTAAGGAAGTAGTAAAACTGAAAGTCAGCCTTTGTAGTGAACTCGGACATGGGCTCATAATCATATGGTGATTGTGTTGCTGATTACTAGTAGATGATTTTGTTTTGTTTTTTTATTTTTGAAACAGGGTTTCATCACATGTTTACTCTTGATATGTTCACCTGCTTATCTCACTCACTAGCCATTTGATGACTTAGGGTTTTGAGAATTTACCATGGATAATGCTAATATCTGTAACAGTTATAATGGTGGATGTGCTGCTGTCATCTGGAGAATGATTCTTACAGTTTTTAACTGTCTAAATAAATAAAATCTACCTTACATTAAACTTTGTTATTTACATAAACTAATTTTTATTATATCAACCTATTTTATTTTTTTCCAGGGCCTATGTTGAAAAATATCTTCTGGAAAAATCTAGACTTGTTTATCAAGAGCATAATGAACGGTATATATTTTTTATTTGTATAGTTAGATCAAGTTTTCAGCATCATAGACTCCCTTTATTTATTTGTATATTGTGATCTTTAATTCACTGTATATTATGTATAGATTTTATATTTATATTAACTACTATTTCTTTCTTGAGTGGAATGCTACATTTTTAAATTCAGTTGGAAGATTTTTATTGGACATGCAGGATTGTTATTCTTTCTCCATTCTAGATAAATTTAGGACAGGAAATAATTTTTAGGACTGAAAGGTAATTTTTCAGATGATAACTCATTTATTCTTGAGCCATATGTATAGCAGTAACCAGTTAGATACTCAAATTGATCCAGCAGGGTTGTCTGTAGGGTTATGTTCCTCACTACCTGTCCTAGTGTTCCCAAATGAATCTCTCATTCACAAGTACACACAGCCTTTGTATTGTGATACTCCTTAAACAGCTACTTCCTAACCTCCAACCCCCCTCTGATATTACCAAGTCATTACTTACTAAAATTTATATTCTATTTTAGCTGCCCTGGACCCAGTTGGGCAGCCCTCCTAAGGCCATTCTTCCCTGGCTCCTACATGGTGACTATGCCCTCTGTTCCACACATTCTCCCAGCATGTCGGATCTCCTCCTTCCTTTCCCTTCCTCTGCCTCTTCTCTCTTCCCTGCCCACCCATTGGCTGTTGGCAACTGTATTTACCAATCAAAACCAACTGGGGGTAGGCTTCTTTCAAATACAAGCAGCATTAGACCAAACCCACAGCATTTCCCCCTTTTTGTCCCTTAAAAAGGCTCTTTTCTCTCAGATACAAATTGAGCATAATTATAATAATTATGTAAATTATAAGGTACGATATACACTTAAAACATCCAGTGTATCAGTTTTGTCAATTTAGATACAGTGCTGTATTATTTATCCTAACTTAAAGAGTTTACAGTTCTATGCCTGAATTATGTTTTATTTAAATTATATTACCCTCTGAAAACTATCCTTTCAAATCTAGAACATCCTCCTTAATGGAAAACAACTTAAGTTTGATTATGAGACTAACTAGTCTTCAACCTCATCAGAAACCCAAGAACAAATTAAATGTTACCTGAATATGTAGGAAGCTTAAAGATTGTTTCCAAAGCTTAATGTGTAGAGATAGCTGACTGCCGGACCGTCTTCTATAGTCCTCATAGCATGAGAGCATCTGTCTTAAGCTTTCTGGCCCAGAACCATCTGACAGACTTTAAGTGAAGAAGGAATTATGAAGGACTAGCTTACCCTGTCTTGGGAGAGCTAAGCTGTTGACTATCCCACATGACTATCATGTGTCCTTTCCTGGATAGTCTTTTTCTGTCTGCAGATGAATTAGGGCAATTCTTGCCCAGTGGCTACCTTGCAACAACTGGAGCAACTCCATATGGAGGTAATGATGCTCAGTATCTTCTTTGAAGTGTGAAGGGGGTACTGTCGGGGTCAGACGTGTCTCATAGTCAAAAGATCTGTTAGTAACAAGGTGATTTTAGACGTTATATTCTGTGGATCTCTGATGCTTTTGAAGACTATCTATATATAGTATATCTAAACTGTTAAACCTTGTTTATTCTTACCTATTTACTGTTTGAATATTCTTGAAAACATTTGATTATAATTAATTCAGACTCTAATATTACCATGAGTTTACTGTCTGACCTTCACTTCATTACTTAATCATCTTAAATAGTTTATAATAGCAGCTATTAGAAGGACTGGGTCTGAACTTTGTATTCTTGAATGACTTGCATAGGCACAATGCCTATCTAAGAGTAACAAAGTTAATTTAAAATTTGTATGAATATACAAAGATTTATACCATAAAAACTTTAAACCTGTATCATTATATATATTCTGTACCAATATAAGAACATATAACTTCAATTCTGCATCAGAATTTAGCGATTTCTACCAATGTAAGATTATGACTATAACATTTTTTTTGTATAAGAGTAAATTTAGTAATCCATTCCATATATCCATTTTCTTATACTATTACTCTACCTCCTTTTTCTTTTCAACCCCCTTTTCTTTACCAAAGAAAGGATAGAGAAGAGGAAAGACATAAATCCCCAAGTCTAATCTCTCTATTTAGTTTTCTCCCTGTCCAAAATTATGGCCATTTCCAAATTATCCCTTGAAGTGACAGTCTATCTATAATTTTCAAAATAACCACAACCAGACACACAAACCCAAGCAACAGGGATGATAATCCTCTATAGCTTCTTCCTGCTGAATTGGGGCAATGAATATTACTATTTTTTAAGAGGTGGAGAGGGGTAGGAAAATTGGAAAAATAGGTTAGACTTAAGAAAGCTAGCTTTAGCCTTTGTTATCCAGTCTGTGTATGCTTAAAAAGTTCAGGGCTTGACTGATGTTCTGACTGGATCTGTCTGAAAGTCTGGATGAACTGAGGTCATTGGGAATAAGCAGTTATTTCTGAAGCTGTTCTTGGAGCAAGTCTCTGGAAACAGCATCAGGTGGGGCAGAATCAGGCAGGGAGCTGGAACAGTAGGTGTTTTTAGCGCCCCTGTGGACAACTCTTGCCAAAGCTGCATCTTGGTGTTTCATTCTGCAGTATATGAATCTTACAACCAGTTTTTTAGTACTATAAAGATATTTGTATGAATTGTGCAAGGTGTACAGATTAGTTAAGGATGAATTTTTGCTCCTTGTTTGAGCAGGTGAAAGACACCTGTCTTTTTTATGACAAAACAAAAAACATTTCTAGAACTAGTCATGTTGATGATATGCTTTGTCCCCAACAGGAACTATCATGTATTCTATTACCTCCTCGCAGGAGCCAGTGAAGAGGAGAGGTTAGCATTCCACCTTAAACAGCCCGAGGAATATCATTTTCTCAACCAGGTAAGAATTCATGAAACCATCTTGAAATGTAGAGGATAACTAAGTTTTAGGTACTGAGACAGTTCTGTATAGATACTTTTGTATGGACACGTTTGCCTTTATGTAGACAGTCTAAAAAATTGTGTTGTACACTTTCTGAATTTAAAAAGGATTATCTACTTAGTATAAGTGATAAAAATTATGTATATCTTATGTGTATTTTGTGAGATTCTTTTGATAATATTAAACTGTTTTATTGTACTTTCTTACCAGAAAAGTGTTGCATCCTTTTTGTCATGACTGACAGTTTACGTACCCTAAGATGTTAAATGTAACTGTTGATTAATGCTTACAAATTGCAAAGAGATTGCTTTGAACTTGATTTGCATGTTTTGCAGTCTAATGTGCATATGTCTGCATGCTATGATACTGGCATAGAGTATCACTGTATAATTTAATGAACAGTCCTCTTAAACATTCTATAGGAACCCAGGCATAATGGCTCATTCCTGTCATCCTACACTTGGGAAGCGGATGCAGGAGGATTTCCATGCTTGGTCTCTATAATGAATTCCAGGGCAACTTGTGCTACATTGTGATTTCTTGTAAAAACAAAACAAAATAGAAAAAAGCATCAGCATGAAATTTTGCATAGGCAAATAATTTAGAGAATGTATTTTTTCTTTAAAATTCAGAATTCAGCTTTAGCTTCCATACCAAGGAATGATCATCACACATTTTCAGGGTATAGATTTCTCTATTTTTCTGTTCCTCATAGTAAAATTTCAAACCCAATTGTTAGTGGTATTGTTACTATATCACTTAAAGAATAAAATAACCCCTCATTTTTTATTTGTTTGAGGGGAAAATATAATATTTATAGGAAAAAGTTCTTTATGACAATGAAAAGTACCCTTAGGATTTTTTTTGGATTTTTTTAATTTAATTTACACTTGAATGAGAAAAAGAAATATTTATTAAATATTATGAAAGTAATACCATGGACTTTTCCTCAAATGTACAGTATGCTCTACCTGGTACTTTTAATTTACAACTTCATATTAATATAAACTATCTTAACTTTATATTAATAGATCCAGAACTTAGAAATAACATCACTTTCTGTTTGAATGCTAGAATTTTTTAACTATACAAAATTAAGTATGTTTTTAAAAATTACTAATTCAGTCCCTGAGTAATTTTTTTTAAAACAAAGTTGTAAGCACTTAGAAATGAGATGATAATTTTTACTGACTCAGTATTTTATAGTCCTTCTGACTTTTTGTGTAATTAGTGGCTACAACATACCTGCATAAATAATATCAGTACTTATAGGATAAGGAACTTACTTGTTAATACAAATTTCAGCCAATGGGCAGTGACATATGTAAGTTGAATAGAATAATATACATTCTCCCAGAATCTGAAATATCTATCTAGTTGTTACTAGAGTATGTTGCTATACAAAATAACTATTCTTTGGATAGTAGTCTTGCTTTCTAAATATTGCATCTCAGCATCATTGCAGAAGTATAATTCCACTCTAATAACTTCTACCTAACTAATGTGCCTTACTTTCAGATAACAAAGAAACCCCTCAGACAGAGCTGGGATGATTATTGCTATGATTCTGAGCCGGTCAGTACTAGTACCTAAGTATTTTTTGTTCCTGTTAAAGGGACATTGCTCATTTGCATTCATCGTCATCATTCAGTATGAAGATGAGCTGATAGACAGCAGTGCGAGTGTGAACTGAGAGCATCCCTAGGTTTCATTACTTTGAATGGTTGATTTGTGTGTCATAGTGTGTTGCTAGACCAATTTACTGTTTTTATATATTTAGCCTAATTAGATTAATTTAGATTAATTTAATCTTCATTAAACATTCACTATTATGAACAGTAAATTGACTGCATCCCTGATGGGCAGCACTGAAGTGGCTCTGTTTCAACCCCAGTAATTCCCCTTCCCCCTTGAGGTTTTTATTGTTTTGTTTTAGTTCAGTGTGACTGCTAGCTACACTCTTTACCATTAAGTTTCATCCTTAGTTTGATACTTACTTAGAATTATTTTTAGTGGGCTTAAGAGATAGTTGAGTGTTTAAGAGTGCTTGCTGCTTTTCCAGATGAGAATTTGGTTCCAAGGACCCAGTGTCAAGTAGCTTGTTAGAACTACCTGTAACTCCAGCTCCAGGTGATCTAATGCCAAGCACCTAGTGTCAGGTGGCTTGTTATAACTGTCTGTAACTCCAGCTCCAGGTGATCTAATGCCCGCTGTGGCATCTGAGGGCACACATCCACATCTACATGTATATACACACATGGAATCAAATAAAAATAAATATTTAGAAAATAAACTGACATCACTTTTTAGGAACTAGGGTGATAGCTCAAGGAGGAAATGCTTCTTGTACAAACATGAACACTGGAGTTCAGATTCTTAGTATCCATATGAAAGCTGGGTGTGGTGCAGGTTTGTACTCAGCTGACTGTATACAAAGACAGAGCTCAGGAACTCTGACTCAACATTCTAATTGAAATAGTAAGTTCCAAGTTCAATGAGAGACCCTGCAGCAAATAAAGAGAGTGATGGAGGATGACCCCTGGTGTCAGTTTCTGCCTTCCACGTGTATTGGGTATTAATCTTCTTCATATAAACTGAATGTTTATAATGAGTGTTCTTTTTCTCTGATTTTTTTTTTTTTTAATGTGTGAAAGAAGCTCCTACAAAACTTTTGTCTCGCAGAGAAAAGTGTCTTTAATCCCATCACTTGGGAGGCAGAGGCAGGTGGATCTCTTGAGTTTGAGGCCAGCTTGGTCTACAGAAAGAGTTCCAGGACACCCAGGACTACAAAGAGAAACCCTGTATTGAAAAACTGAAAAACAAACAAAAAACCTTTTGCCTTAATCACCACTGAATTATTGATATTCTTATAAACAAGATTATTTTATTGGGCTGGAGAGATGGCTCAACAGTAAAGAGCATTGACTGCTCTTTCAGAGAACCTGGGTTCAATTCCTAGCACCCACATGGCATCTCACAACTGTCTGTAACTTTAAGATCTGATGCCCTCACACAGACATGCATACAGGCAAACACCAGTGCACATTTAAAAAAAAAAAGATTATGGAATGAGAAAGATGGCTAAAAGTTTAAGAGCACTTTTGCTACTGCAGACGACCATAGCTTAATTCCTAGCACCCATGTTTGACACCTGTTACTCTAGGTTCAGGGATCCTGTGTACTGTTTTTGCCTCTGAAGGCACTTATATTCATGTGTACATACTTATACATAGACACATGGACATTACACAGAAATAAACATCTTAAAAAGGTTATTCAAGGTTTTAAACAGGTATATAAAGGCATATGTGGTAGAAAATGACTATGTATATGTGTTATATTTTATATAAGTACAAATTTGTAACCATAAAGTGATGACAAAAATGCCTTTCTTTCAATCTATAGCTCAGTCACTTATAAAAGCATAGCTCCATCTAGCTATATCTATTAAATAATGAGTGAGATGTAAACATTTTCTCTCCATCACACGCCATGTCTTCATCTTTGCTTTCTCGGCTTTCTCATTGCATGCCATTATAAACAGTACTAATTGCAAAGTTTGCCTGTGCCATTTGTGAAGCAACAGCATGTGTGAGTACTGAGTACTAGGTTTTTCCTCCTGACAAAGTATACTTTCATCACCATTTCATAATCAAGAATCTATTGGTTTCAGATTTAACATTTTGGGAAATATATATTCAGTTTATATATTATTGATGAATTATAAAATGCATAATTTATTTTACTCCAAAGAAGCTCTTCTGGTCTATCTTTCATTTATTATATCAAGTGACTCATACCTCTTTGAAAAGGAGACAGGCCACTGCAAGCTCTCTCACATATGATTGATTTCTTGTTCATACTTTTCTTTTTTTTTTTTTTTTTTTTACTATGAATGACACTTTTTATTCAGTCATTTTCTTTACAACTGAAACTCTGGGAATTCAAAATTAACATCCTTGCCTGTGAGCTTCTTGTACACACCAGAAAAAGTTTCGACCTTGTGCTCCACGTTGTTCTGCTGTGCTTTGTCTAAATGAACTTTTATGAGCCGGCTGCCATCCAGTTTCACACGGATCCTCTTACCCACAATTTCACTTGGGAAGACCAAGTCCTCAAGGATGGCATCATGCACCGCTGTCAGGGTGCGGCTTCTGGGGCGCTTTTGCTTATTTTTCGTGCGGCTTTTCCGGGTTGGCTTGGGCAGAATCCTCCTCTGAGCAATGAAGACTACATGCTTTCCACTGAACTTCTTCTCCAATTCACGAACTAGCCGGACTTGGATTTTCTGGAAAGATTTAAGCTGAGGAACTGGTACAAAAATTATGATAGCTTTCCGACCACCACCAACTTCGATTTCCTTCGCTGCGGTGATGTTGAGTTCCCGCAGCTGCGCCTTGAGATCGGAGTTCATCTCCAGCTCCAGCAGCGCCTGAGAGATGCCAGACTCGAACTCGTCCGGCTTCTCGCCATTGGGCTTCACAATCTTGGCGCTCGAGCTGAACATGGCTTCGTCCTTACGGAGTGCCGGCTTAGAAAGAGCTTGTTCATACTTTTCTATACAACTGTGGATTGGTCTGCATTTGTCTGAAGTTTAAGTAATGCTTAAGAATTTGATGTGAGAATACTAGCTCATCCACTTACTCATGTTAAGACCTTCAGAAGGTCATTTCATTTTTTTTTTCTTTGAATTTTTTAGTTAATCCTTTTATTCCTGCCTTCTGTTTCAGAGAACAGTGGTCTTTGGTCACTTCAGCATGCATGTATTCTTTGAACTTTGGGTTATATAGCAAGACTCTGTCTCAAAAAGACCAAAAAACCACAGGCCTGTAATCTAGTACTCAGAAAGGTTGAGACAGGAATATGTCAAGTTTAGACCAGCCTGTGCTACTTAACAAATATAAGGCCAGCTTGAGCTAAATAGTGAAATTTTCTTAAAAGCAAACCAAACAAAAAAAAAAAAAAACAAAAAAAAACCCCCAAAACAACAACAACAAAAAACAGAGCAAAGAAAAAAAATTCTTCAAAAATTGTCTTCAGGGTTTGTATTAAATTTGACAGTATGTATGAAGACTAGAGAACTGAACTGAAGTGCTAGGTGAAAATGTCACTTCGATAGTTGCTGCCATCATTTGAATCAGAGTACATCTTTTTATTAAAGGACTTTTGTAGCTACAGTTTTCGTGTGTGTGCGTGTGCGTACGTGCATGTCTGTTTTTTCTTCTATTTGTGTAAGTATACATGGAGAAGCTAGAGAACAATTTTGTTCTCAGGTGCTATCCACATTTATTTGTTTGTTTATTTTAAGACCACGCCTTTCACTGGCCTGCATCTTGAAAGTAGGCTAGACTGACTGGCCAGCAAGACCCATCTGTCTCCACGTCCCTAGTGACACTTGCCACCATGCCCAGCTTTTAAAAATGTGGACCCTAGAGATTAAACTCAAGCTTGAAAAGCAAGGATTTTACCCACTGGAATCCTGCCTCCACCTGTAATTTCCTGTTCTTAATGCTACTTTCAGCATAGTTAGTCCTGTTTATTATACTTTTCAAATAATTAGAGCCAGACTATGATTACCTCTCTATTTAGTCCTGGCTGTATTAGAACTTGGTATGTAATGTAATTGTTTAAAGTTTCTTCTGTTTGTTTATTTCCCCAAGACTCCAGTTTATTCATGATTTAGCAAAAAATTATGTATAAAAAGCTAGGGATAAGCCGGGCAGTGGTGGCGCACGCCTTTAATCCCAGCACTTGGGAGGCAGAGACAGGTGGATTTCTGAGTTCGGGGCCAGCCTGGTCTACAGAGTGAGTCCCAGGACAGCCAGGGCTACACCGAGAAACCCTGTCTCGAAAAACCAAAACCAAAACCAAACTAGGGATAAGTATACATTTATGCTTATGTATGTTTATGTTTACACTTACCAGTGCTTACAGCGCTCTCAGTTCTAATTTCATATTGTTTCCCAGAGATAAGTTTGGGATAAAGCTCTAGTCACACACTGGGATGGTTGTTTTAGCTTGTCATAGCCTAGATTCACCTGACAAAGGAGTCTCAATTGAGGAATTATCAAGATAAATTGGCTTCTGGGCATCGTTTGTGAGGGATTGTCTTTTTTGTTAATTGATGTAGAAAGATCTAGTCCATATTGTGGGCAGTACTGTTCCATAAATTTGAGCCCTTTCCTGTATAGGGATACAGAGTACTAGGTAAGCATGACTAGTAAGCAACCAACCAAGCAAGGACCATACATTTATTTTCTCTCTGCTCTTGACTGAAGTGATGCTTTAAATTCCTGCTTTAACCTCCCTAAAATGATGGGTACAGTTCTGGAACTGTAAGCTCAATAAACAACTTTTTTTCCTCTAAGTTGCTTTTCATCAGGATGTTTCATCACGGCAACAGAAATGAAACTAGAGCACTGACAGTGGTGGCTACCTTTGTCATGGTCTATGGTTAAGCTACCTTTTCCACATTTTAGTCTTTTTCTTCCCCTAGTTGTTTTTGTATCTTGGTATATTTAAAAGACTGACTTCTGGAAAAGTTTCATGTAAGATAAGGACAGTTTTGGTCTAGG